TGTCATGCTATATACTGAGATTTAGGCTGCCATATACTAACCTTTACATTCCCTAATACCCAGGCTCTTACCCTTCCTTTTATATTCCTTTTAAATTTTGGGGTTTTTTTTTTATACAAATACCCTTTTATATAACCTTAGCTTTTTATAATTATTATTTTTTTAGATTCTGATATATTTTCTATGCTTTTTAACTGATAGTATCACACCCTCCTCATGCTGGTTTTTGACCATAATAAAAGTTAGAATGTTGCTATTATGACTTTTACCTGCCTATTTAAAATAGGTGGAAAGCAGGTAGAGGAACAGTTTATATGTTCACTGCTGTGTTTTCAGACATGCCCTGGCAATACTTGAGTTTCATGATGCCCTTAAAAATGAAATGAGGTTTCATTTTTAAAGAACTTGAAAAACACTGCATCTAATAGAACACAGAGTTCATATAAACATAGAGCAAATGTAATAATTTCAAAAAGATTTATCTCTAACAGTTCGATTACTTGATTTAGGGTTGGCTCTTGTTCTTGATATTTAATATCTATCCTTGTGAAAGTACAAAGGTGAAGACTGCATTTGGTTTTGTTGAATGTTTGGTACTTAACTGTTATTTTAAAAGATCCTCTTGCACTATTTGGGGAATGATCCTTCAGAGTGCATACAGTACAGTATATAAATTGAATTCTGTTAGCTTGGGTATTTTCTTGAGCTTTCTTGGGTTCTCTGTAAATAGTCTGTGCTCCCTTGCAGCTGTTGATACGCTTGACAGTGTTGAAAATGCATGCTGGTTTTTCAGTCCTGTTGGAGCTTTAAGATAAAACCAAGAATGTGTATTTCCATTTTTATTTAATTTGCATTTGTATTTTCATACACGTAGCAATATGTGTAGCTGTTTGTTTGTTTTTCTGCTTTGATGTTTTTAAAACACAAATGCCGGTAGGCTTTATTTTCTGGCCTTAATAGTGTCAGGCAGCAACTGAGGAGTATTTCTGGATTTACTCAACCCCATTTCTCTGGCCCTTTTCTCTGTTGGATGAATGATGGGCAGCAATAAGCATAGATTGCAAAGAAAGGCTACTTCCTGTGAACCTGGGGCAAAAAGCAAGAAAAGAAAGATTGTTCCGAGTACCCATTATTTCCTATAGCCATATCTTTCATAACACATGAGAATGCAGCCAAATTGTAATAATCCAGAATATTATAGGTTGGACCATTTTTTTCTAAGCTTATACAGTACAAGAGATAGGCCATTCTCAATTTACAAATATGATCAGTCAATATATTTGGCTTTGTTTCTATATACAGTAAAAGTGTTCAAAAACAAGGATTTTTTTAAATAAAAAGTAAAGTCCTACTGCAATTTTGTTTTGTTTATATCAGGCCAGAGAAACTATTGCTGTATTTCTTGTTTCATCCAGAAAATCTTTTATCTCCTTTACATCATTATGAAGTTTGGAAAAATGGAATATATGTAATATTAATGTAACATTTCCTTGTTTTATTTTTTATATGAGTTTCAAGGAAAAACCCTATCAATATCACTTGCATAAAAATAATTAAATAATCGCATGCACACAAGCGCACACATACATATACATTCACACGATGATCTGAGCTTTATGCCGTTATATAAAATGTAAAGTTTTCAGTCTCCATTTAGAACAATTATAGGTGGGACTATAAATATTGTGGCATAGTTAAATTAGATTAGAACTCTCTCTGTCATTTTGCATTAGCCACTCTTGCTAAATCCCTTTACAGAGCTTTTGACAGACCATTTCAAAAAATGCTTCATTTAAGGAAGAATGACTTAATAGGGGTTATTGTAGAAAAATAGATTTATTTTTCTTTCTCTTTTATATTATCAGTTGGATAATTATTGATGCCAATATTAAGCATTCATTGCAGTTTTAATCAATGTCAAAGAGTACTCACAATCCATATGTGATGCTAAAACAACGAAATTGATATTTTAATAAATAAGTCATAGCTATCATTTGACAACATGAAAATGGAGGAAGCTGCAATGTTTCCATTTTCAATATTCAGTTTAAAAGATAGCCTATTTTAATGGAGCCAGTCATTTTGAAAAAGGCTTGTTAGTAAACAATCTGTGTGCTTTTTTTTTAATCAGTCCTCAATCTTTTTGTAAAAGTAGGCTGTCTACTGTTTTGACATATATTATTGTTTCTTTGCTATATGCATTTGCCTGTTTCGGTAATGATGCTTTTACTTTGTTTCTTATAATGCTTTTTTTTTTTCTGGTATCAATTTGTTTCATGTCATTTTAGAAAGTAATTGTAAACATGTAGTTTTGAGCTGACATGATCCATTATTATCAATATTATTAATGCGGTTCATTTATATCTGAGTGTTTGATAATTGGTTTATTATAATTAGATGATATATATTGTTTTAATATGGTAATCCTTTTTTCTTTTGCAAAATCAATGGAGCTGTCAAGACTGTTTTTTATTGATATAGAAAAGTGGTGCATGTACTGTATATCTGTAGAAATCTCTAAAAACAATTTGAGATTATAAAACAATCTTATTTAATAACGTTTGGATATCTCCTCCTCTTTCATTATTGCTTACTCTACCAATGAAATCGTAACATGCATATGGCAACATCAGTCATGTTTCAGTTTTGTAATCTGTTTTCCAAAGTGTCCTTGAGGGCAGAGACTGATCTTGCACCAAAGCAGAGATGGGTGTCATAGATCTCTTTCTCAGAGCAAGTTTTCCTATCTTGTCAAATGTTAATTGATGTAGTTGATTAGAAATCAAATCAGGCGTTTCACTTGGAAGGAGAAGAAGCAAAGAAACAGACTTCATATAATTTGAGACATAAAACAGCTTGCATGGAATGTGAAATGTCAGTAACTAATTTTTCAGAAGAACAAAGTTGATAAACCTTGGATCCACCATGTCCATCTGTTTAACTCACCACTCATTTTCCATTATTCTGGTTTCATTCTTCAGTATTCAGTTCCCCAATCCATGCCTGGGGGAAAAATTATTGCTTCCAGATTCCTACACAAAGAGTCCTTATACACATCCACTGCCTTTTCTCTCATCAACTTTTCCCTCATCAGCCTTTTCCCTCGTCATAATAATGTTCATTTACGCTGTGCAGCACCCTACAAGAGTCCCCCTTTTTCCCGCTCCTGTGTGGGCCTCTAGCCCAGGGGTGTCAAACTCAAGGTCCGCGGGCCAGATCCGGCCTGCAGGATGCTTAAATCTGGCCCGTGGGGCCACCCTGGAAACAGCAAAGGACTGGCCCACGGTACCTCTATCAATGAAAATGGAGCTCAGGAGGGCCATGTGCTGCCATCCCAGGCTCCGTTTTCAGCCATGACAGCTTCCTGCAGCCCTCTGCCAGCAAAAATGGTGCTCGGGGGGCCCTCCCGAGCTCCATTTTTGCTGGCAGACGGTTGCAGGAGGCTGTCGCAGCCAAAAATAGAGCTTGGGAGCCGTTTTTACTAGCAGAGCGCTCGGGCCACCACAGGTGCCCCCTAACACGAGTGATGTCAAGCTGGCCACGCCCACCTCAGCCACCGAGATCAAACACAACCCTGATGCGGCCCTCAATGAAATCAAATTTGACATCCCTGCTCTATCCAATCGCTGATGAGAGTACTAGAGCAGAAAATAACTGGCAGAGTGCTCTCAACCTCAGTTTTCATTTTGCCACATTTCAGTTTTCAATGAGGAAAAGAAAATAAGCTGAGGAAGTAACAAGTCAGTCCTCATTCAATGAGGAAAAGTAGAGTGCCTTGGGTTCTGCAGGTAAGGGGGAGATCCCAAGAGTGGAAAAACCAGGAATTCTCAAGTTTCTGAAGCTGCTCCAGAAGAAGTGAAATTTGTACTATAACATTTCCTCTGGAGCAGAATCTAATTAATTTTTTAAAAATAATCAGCAAGGCTTTTAATGATGGCTGAAAGTGTAGAAAGACACCCGATACATGTATCCCTTATTTCAGTTACCATTTTAAACTACAAGCTGCAATTATACAATGAAGAGCAGTCTATTAATGAGCCAGCAGAGACCAAATAAAGGTTTGAAGAATTTTCTAATTCTAAAGTTGTAAAAATGTAACGTGATTGCAGAATGTACTAATGATATTTGTCCACTACTTTTGGTATGTTGCTTTCATATGAATCATCATGATAAGATATGAATGGTGAAGTAGCAGGCTGGTTCAGCTATTCTTCTGGCATGGAAAAAGGACCACGGCACATGAGAAGTGCAACCTTTATTCTTCAGACAATTCCTGATTTCATATTTTTAATAATGCTTATGCTGTCTCATTCTTAATTGTGCTTATAGTGCATGCAAACGATCAAAGGAACAGCTTGTAAAATATGGGAAGGGTAGTTACATATTAAGATTAGGGTTGATTCTCCAAGACACCTCTCTGGTTCTGCTTCTTGCAGGCACGGTGCAGCTGCAACTACTCTGAAGTTCGGGACAGCTACTTCGAGTCTTGTATGAATCTGTTTCTGTTTAAGTTAATTTCAGCTGCACCGTACCGTAGACAGTCCTTGTTAAAACACTCCAAACAAGGAGGGAAAGGACCCAATGTGATCATTTGTACCTTTGCCCTTCTCACAGCTTGAGAAAAGATTGCAAATGAAAAAAAAAATCTTATTGGTTTCTTTGGCGGAAGAACATACATTCTAATCATGTTGGGGAAGCTATAATCTTCCATTCCATATTGCTTTCTGGAAAGGGCATCACCCATAATAAAATAGGTAGTTGCATATTTTCAGAAGGTCTGCTTTCATTCACACTGAAGTGTGGAAATTTAGAGGGGACTTCCCAAACAAATAACTTACTAGGTAATGAATATAGTACGGAACATACTCTGTCATCTCAGGTACAGAGATATATTAGAATTGTTAGAACTATTTGTAATATTTTAATTGTTTAAACTCTTAAATTGTAGACACACACACATCTCCCAACATATAACATTTTTCTACATCTTTTATTTTTAGAATATCATTCTTAAAAGATGGAAGCTTCCAAATAGCTAATGTGAGTAAATCAGATGCTGGAAGTTATACCTGCCTGGCAGAAAACAAGTTTGGAAAAGCTAGTAGCTCAACTACTTTATTAGTAACAGGTAATTAGATAGCTAATAGTATTTTATTTGAAAATTATATGAATTGAGTAATGTGTGAAAGAGATATTTCGATTTTGAATTTTCATCTTATGTTAGGATAACATCATAATTCAAATGAAATACGTAATTTGAGATCTTTTTAAATTGCTATGTGAATGCCACTCTACAATTTTTCAGAGGTTCAGAACTGCATGGAATAGCCATTAAGCTTCTGGAAACATCTATTAAAAGCAGGAAGGCATGAGAGGTTAAGATATGCCATCAAATGTTAATATTCTGAGAGGTAGTCATGGATCTCCCCTCCAGAATCTGAAGAAATGGAAAAAACAGGGAATGATCTTTTATTTATAGCCATGGAATGTTCCAGTAAATGTACAAAAGACAGGATTTTCTTGATCTATCAGTCAACAGAGAATAGTAGTCAATAACATAGCAATTTTGGCAAAGAGAAGATGTTGTACACAATTAGAAAATATAGTGCAGCAGGAGAGAACAAGTAAAATCATTCACAGAACCTTTTTGGTTTACTGAAGAAAATGAAATATAAATTTGTCTACAAATAAAAGAGGAAACCTGCTACAACAATATCAAAATGGTGGACACAGAAACACAAAGCCCCAACTTTAAAAAAAAATGTATAGTACACTTCCCCAACCTTTCCCGCTTTGTGAACCAGCGGGATGGGTGTGAGGGGATGGTTCCACACAAGCGACGGCAAACATGCATACGTAGCTCCTGCAAGTGGGGGATGCATGCACGCACTTGCTCACGACTTCCGTGGCCTGGCCTCGTTTCAAATGGCTCAAGTGCTGGTAGTGGGCTGCACTCCGGGGTTTGGGGACCTCTGATGTATAGTACATCACATGTAGAAAATTGATTTCCCAATTATACCCACCATTTTGAATCAATGTTTCTCATTATAAATACCTGTGAAAAAAAATTACTTGTAACTTCATTCTTTTTGAAAAGCCAGTTTATGTAATTTGCATATTAAAATAATAGATCAATAATGTTTTTTTTAAGTTCCAAAAAATGACTTAGAGTTGTTTTAGTCCACTTCTACACTAATGAGCAACCTGTAGCTTGCAAGTTTCATGTACTATCAACATCCTTTTTGTGATGCCTGTAGGAGGCCTAGAGGGGCCAGGAACAATTTTTACACAATAAAATTATTCTCAGCTCCCTACTGCTTGACCATTTTCCCCATGGAGTTTGAGAGACAACATGAAGTAGACTCAGTTTTGCTTCTTACACCTCATATTAACCTTCCTCCCTCAAAAAAAAAAAAAATACAAAAAGGAGGAAGAATATTATATCCTCCTTACATCCAAGTGGCAAACAAATGCCCTAATAATCATATTGCATTATTTATCATATTGTAGGAGAACGTGATGTTCAGTGGCTAAGACGCTGAGCTTGTCAACCGAAAGGTCGGCAGTTCAGTGGTTCAAATCCCTAGTGCTGCGTAACAGGGTGAGCTCCCGTTACTTGTCCCAGCTTCTGCCAACCAGCAGTTTGAAAGCACGTAAAAAATGCAAGTAGAAAAATAGGGACCACCTTTGGTGGGAAAGTAACAGCGTTCTGTGCACCTTTGGTGTTTAGTCATGCCGGCCACATGACTACGGAGACGTCTTCGGACAGTGCTGGCTCTTCAGCTTCGAAACAGAGATGAGCACCGCCCCCTAGAGTCAGAAACGACTAGCACATATGTGCGAGGGGAACCTTTACTTTTACACTAGAACTATGAGGATTGGATTTGTCTATCGGGTTAAGAATTTCTGAGTAAGCCACATAGGTGTTCACACTTTGTGGTAACCAAAAAACACATTTTTACAAATTATGATTGCTTCAGTAACAGCGTTATGTAACAAAACAAACCACCCAGTAGCATACATACAAAAAGACCTACTGAATCTTTCTACGTGATTTTCTCTAAAGGATTACTGGACCCAAGTTATCAAACTGTATCTAGTTTGTCTTTTTAAAAAAATCTGAAAAATTTGAAATTCAGTTTTTGTAAATATAGCATGATTACAACATTATTAAATTATTTTTGTTGTTAATATTCCTAGAGTATAGATAGAGTTTGGAAAATCCAAGAGATAGCTTTGAGTTGACACAGTTTCTTCAGTGTACTCTTAATGGAATAGAATATTGTTTTAAAAAAGCATCATGAATGTAACACATTAGCATAAGGAGCTAGAATGTGTATGTTCTTTTTATGTTCTTTTCAGATCCAACCCGGATAATATTAGCACCATCAAATATGGATGTGACTGTAGGAGAAAGTATAATTTTACCCTGCCAAGTTCAGCATGACCCACTCCTGGATATAAGTTTCACATGGTATTTTAATAGTGCATTGACTGACTTCAGAAAAGATGCATCCCATTTTGAGAGAGTAGGTGGGGTAAGTTATAATGTAATTGTGTAAATTTGCTTTATTAGACCTGGAATCATAGAAAACCAAAATAATAATAATAATAATAATACCCCAATTATATTCCTCTTTAAATTGTATTCTGTTGCCTGTAGAAATAGCAATAGCATTCTCTAAGTGGTTTACAGAATCATTATATTGCCACCAACAATTTGTATACTCATTTTACCTACCTTGGAAGGATGGAATGCTGAGTCAATCTCAAGCCCATCAAGATAGAACTCCAGACTGTGGACAGAGTTTGTCTGCAATACTGCTTTCTAACCACATTGCCACCAGGCCTCCTTTAACTAGCATTAAGATTATAGTTTTGCGGTTAAATAAATTATGATAGTATGGAACTTATTTTATACAGGCATTCCTTGACTTATCACCACATTTGAGCCCAAATTTTCTGTTGCTAAGCAAGACAGTTGTTGAGTTTTGCCCCAGTTTATGGCCTTTAGTGCCACAGTTGTTAAGTGTATCACTGCAGTTGTTAAATTAGTAAAGCGGTTGTTAAGTGAATCCTGCTTCCCATTGACTTTGCTTGTCAGAAAGTTGCAAAGATAATCATATGACCCTACACCTTACAACTACCCTGTTTTCCCCAAAATAAGACATCCCCTGATAATAAGCCCAATCGGGCTTTTGAGTGCATGGCAATACAGCCAAGCACTTATTTCAGAGTTCAAAAAGAATATAAGACAGGGTCTTATTTTTGGGAAAACACGGTATTATAAATATAAACCAATTGCTAACCATCTAAATTTTAATCACATGATCATGGGGATACTGCAAGAGGCATAAGTGTGAAAAACGGTCATAAGTCACTTTTTCAGTGCCATTTTAACTTTCAACAGTCACTAAACAAATGGATATACTCTGTATTCTGGATAGTTTGATAGGGGTCCTTGAAGTTTTGCTCAATATGGTTACATTTTCATTACAGCTTTCCAGAGTGCTGTGCACATTGCCAATGATGTTCCATTTTCAAATAGGGAAACATTTTTTATTTCCATAACTGCATTAGTTCTTTAGCTATGGCTTCTTGCTCCTTTGTTTCAACTTAAAGTAGTTTTTATTTCCATTAAGTTTTTTAAAATTACCTTGTGAGTTTTCAAAGTTTGCTGCTTTTAAGTATTACTATTATTTATTGTTTGTTTAGATGTTTGTTAATTTTGGATGGTAAAAGTCTTAGAAATGATGGGTTACTAATCATCTACTAATTTCCATAGGGTCCAACAGTATAAACTCAGATTATGCTAGGTAACTACCAAGATTCCCTGAATTATTAACATTGCAATTATGATTTGAGAAAGACTGATATCAGCTGAAATTGTGCAGATGTCAGTAGTATAATGCTGTTGCTTGTTTAATTCCACCCAGCCTGTTGACAATTTGTGTTCTATGGGTCAGCAAACTGCTCAACAGGAAAGGTGACCTTCCTGTCACTGTAAACTATCCACAGTAGCACAGATATAATTTTGCTAGCTGAAACTAAATAAAATCTCTTCCGCTGCCAAAACTACATGAAACATTGACAGATTCAGAGCTTTCTTTCTCTGTTTTCATAGCATCCAAGATTGATTTACATGGATTGTACTGATTTTAGTGATATGATGAATTTGTCATCTGTTGACAAATGCTGACAGAATTATTAGCATAGATGGCCCAAACCAAAAAATATCCACCATCCTAAGAAACCCCAAAGACAAAATTGAATTAGAAAATCAAGGAGTATATGAAATCCCATGCACTGCCTGCACCACATACATCGGACAAACCAACAGAAGAATAAGTGCACGCATTAAAGAACACAAGAACTCAGTCAGAAAAGAGGAACCAACTTCTTCCCTGGTCCAACACCTTAAAACCACAGGACATGAAATTGACTTTAAAAAGACCAGAACTATCGCCAAAACTGAACACTTTAACAACAGAATAATCAGAGAAGCCATTGAGATAGAAAAACGCCCACACAGCATGAATAAATGAGATACCTCCCGCCTACCAGCCATTTGGAAACCTGCCCTTATTGACAAACGAGTCCCTAACATGACGAATGACACCAGACCCACACTCACGAGAGCCACACAGGATGTCACCACCACACATCCACGCAGAAAGCAGACTCAAACCCACACTGATAATGAGCCACGACCAAGGACCAGAAGCCAGACCGCAGCTGCATCATTAGCCACTTTAAACCCCTCCAATCCATACATGAAGCAGACTGACACCCACCATGAAGAGCTCGCATGGCCACAAACACGAAGCCAAACAACAACGCAGCTCACCAGCTCAAATCCTCCTGCAACTCAGACTAAGCTGAGCACAACCAAGCCCCCACCCAAAGAGAACACACCCCCAGCCAATCAGAGCACAACCAACCCCCCATCCAATCAGAGCACAGCCAAGCCCCTAACCAATCAGAACACAGCTCCACCCAATCAGAACACAGCCAAGTTCCCACCCAATCAGCTCACATCCCCACTAGCAGTTAAAAGGAAGAGACAGCTGCGATCTCACATTGCTCCTGGAAGCACGAAGCTGAGAACACCAGCCTGAAGATGACGAATGAGACTTCGTCGAAACATCGCCAAGACACTTCCAATTTTACGTGGGAGAAGACCCGAATAACCAAAGACCTACATACAAACACCCGCGAAAACCTGAGAAAATAGATAGATAGATAGATAGATAGATAGATAGATAGATAGATAGATAGATAGATAGATAGGTAGGTAGGTAGGTATGTGTGTGTGTGTGTGTATGTATGTATGTATGTATGTATGTATGTATGTTTATGTAAGTTTTCATATATATATATATATTCTATATGCATCAGGCTTTTATTTAAAGTAAAATTATTCTCTTTGACGGTCCCACTACCTAGTTTATATTTTGAATATTTAGAACAAGATTAATTTTACTGAATAGGTCACTGAAAGGGATAATAAATATAGGAGATATATTCACCCCATATTAATACACACACAGAGTGTTTTCTGTCTTGTGGCTTTTTTTACACTGCCATTTCTTACTTAATGCGACAATTTATATGCTTTGATTCCAAACGCCTCAATTTTTTTATATAGTAAAAAAGAATGTGGTCTTCATTTATTTCTTTGCTTACTTCTGTAAAGGAATAGCCAATCATATCCATTCAGTTATGAAAAACAAATACAAAGACAACAGATTGGCTGAAGATATTTTGTATTGAAGATATAATTTAAAGTTTAAAACATTCAAACTGAATAATGTAAACAGTATGAATATATGAAGTAAATTAAACTGGACATAAGAAAATAAGATTAAGATTCATTCTAGTGTCTGTTTTAAAAATACAACAGAACATGAAATATGATTGCAAACTGGAAAATACTTCCCTAAAATGAAGTCAATAACAATCTGGGAAAACATTATCATGGATATTAAGAAATGAGGAAAATGGTGTCACTTATATTCAATCCCTAGTACCATGATGGCAAACATATGGCATGCATGCTGGAAGTGGCACACAGAGCCATCACTCCGGGCACATGAGCCGTTGCCTGTTGTCTTCCAGGTTCCAGCGTGCCGGACAGCTGGTCTTCACGCACACGTAAACACCGGAAACCGGAAGAGCAGCCACCTGCTGGAAACCAGAACATTATCTTCCCAGCAAGTGCATGCCCACCAAGTGGCTGCTCTTCTGGTTTCCGCCGTACACATGCATGCCAAAAACTGGAAGACTAGATGGCTGACGCTCATGCACACCCCAAAAACCAGAATATCAGTTCCCCAGCGCACGCCTGTGCTCCAGGCAGCTGCTCTTTCAGTTTCCGATGGACATGCACGCTCCCGTTGCAGCACTCAGTGCCGAAAATGTTCGCCAACACTGCCCTATTACATGAGCCAAGGTGTTAAGGAGTCTTAATTTGAAAACACAAGTACAGACAGTCCTCGACTTATTTAATTTAATTTAATTTAATTTCCAATTTATATACCGCCCTTCTCCCTGAGGACTCAGGGCGGTGTACAGCCAAGATAAAAAGCATAGAATACAAATATTAAAACATTTAAAAATATATATAAATTTTGGCCCAAAAGTTAAAAAATCACAGACTAATTAAAAGAATTTAAAATTTCTTCTTAAGCCAACCCGGCTTGCTGAAAAAGATTGGTTTTCAGGGAACGACGGAAGGCATTGAGGTCATGGATTCTCCTTATCTCCGGGGGCAACTGATTCCAGAGGGTGGGAGCCCCCACAGAGAAGGCCCTCCCCCTGGGGGCCACCAGCCTACATTATTTGGCTGATGGCACCCTGAGGAGGCCCTCTCTGTGGGAGCGCACAGGTCGATGGGAGGTCGTCGGTAGCAGCAGGCGGTCTCGCAGATAGCTAGGCCCTATGCCATGGAGCGCTTTAAAGGTGATAACCAACACCTTGAAGCGCACCCGGAAGACCACCGGGAGCCAGTGCAGCTTGCGCAGGAGCGGTGTTACATGGGAGCTCCATGTTGCTCCCATCACTACCCGCGCTGCTGCATTCTGGACCAGCTGGAGCCTCCGGGTGCTCTTCAAGGGGAGCCCCATGTAGAGAGCATTGCAGTAGTCAAGGCGAGAGGTGACGAGGGCGTGAGTGACTGTGCACAAAGAATCCCGATTGAGAAAGGGCCGCAACTGGCGAATCAGGCGAACCTGATAAAAGGTCCCCCTGGTAACAGCCGTCAGATGTTCCTCCAAAAACAGCTGCCTATCCAGGAGGACTCCCAGATTGCAAGCCCTTTCAGTGAGGGCTAAAGACTTGCCCCCAATAGTCAGTGATGGAGTCAACTGACTATATCGGGATGCCGGGAGCCACAGCCACTCAGTCTTGGAAAGGTTGAGCTTGAGCCTGTTCCTCCCCATCCAGATCCGCACAGCTTCCAGGCACTGGGACATCACTTCAAGGGCATCGTTGGGGTGGCCTGGGGTGGAGATGTACAGCTGGGTGTCATCAGCGTACTGGTGTATCTCACCCCAAAGCCACGGATGATCTCACCCAGCAGCTTCACATAAATGTTGAACAGAAGGGGCGAGAGGACCGATCCCTGCGGCACTCCACAGATGAGAGGCCTCGAGGTCAACCTCTGCCCCCCTGCCAACACAAACTGCGACCGGTCGGAGAGAAAGGAGGAGAACCACCGCAACACAGTGCCTCCCACCCCCAACTCTTCCAGCCAGTGCAGCATGATATCATGGTCGATGGTATCAAAAGCCGCTGAGAGATCTAATAGGACCAGAACAGAGGAATAACCCCTGTCCCGAGTCCTCCAGAGATCATCAACCAACGCGACCAATGCCGTTTCCGGGCTGTGCCCAGACCTGAAACCCGACTGGAACGGATCTAGATAGGATGTTTCCTCCAGGAACTGCGGAAACTGTTGCGCGACCACACTCTCAACAACCTTCGCAATGAAGCGAAGGTTGGAGACAGGACGATAGTTAGCCAATATTGCCGGATCCAGGGACGGCTTCTTGAGGAGAGGCCTCACCACCGCCTCTTTCAGGGCAGCGGGGAAGTGACCCTCACTCAACGAAGCATTAATGACGCCCTGGAGCCAGCCTTGTGTAACCTCCCGGGAAGCCAGTACCAACCAGGAGGGACACGGGTCCAGTAAACATGTGGCTGCACTAAGTCTCCCCAAAATCCTGTCCACATCATCGGGAGTCACAGCATCAAACTCCTCCCAGATAACATTCTCAAGACTGTGCCTCGTCACCCTGCCCTGATCTACCCAGTCAGAGTCCAAATCCCCCCGGATCTGAGCGATTTTGTCATACAGGTATTGTCTGAAATCCTCCGCCCTGCCTTCTAAGGACTTATGACCATTCATTTAACATTCATTCCTAGTTTGAATTTGTCCAGTTCAATATTACCTACATCTGTGTTACAATTTGAGTGTACCATTTATTTACCCTAGTAGTATCCATTTTCAAAAAGCAAAATTTGATTTCTTCCAAAAATTACTAGTAAACTACATGCACAAATATAATTGCATTTTAGATGTTAATTGCTTGAGGCAATACTGCCAGACAATACCATTTTCTTTCAGGTTACAGTTATGGATTATGTGGTAGCATGAAGTACCCCAACGCTTGGCATGGAAATCAGAAAAAAAAGTAGAGGCAATTGTTATTTTAGTTATGATTCTCATGGTTCCATGAGATTGGAACCAATTTTTTAAATTAATTTGCTTTCCCAGAGTACACCTGAAATTCTAAAAAATTAATATATTCATTAATCAGCAAGGGATTAAAATGTGATCAGATAATTCCTACTTTTAAAATATGTAGATATACCAATCTTAATAACGCTAACATTAATTTTGTTTTAAAACTCAATAGTTTAATGCCAAATGATACTACAGTACATATTCAAGATTAAGTCCTGGAGCTATGATAGTGATTGACCCTATTTTCTCCTTGCAGAAAATCCTAAATTCAATTCCTGGTATCTCCAGTTTAAATTAATCTTAGGTGCTAAAATGCAGAGCACTAACATGAATGATAAAAGTACCAGAAACTTCTAATAAAATTAAAGCTCTTAGAAAAGGGGTGACATTTAGCCTCTTTTATGACAATAGTCAATTATCATCACAATATAATAATAACAATCAGGTGGCAGACCAAAGATTAAATTGTTGAAAACAAATGAAGAAGCATTTCCTGAGGTGACAAAGGAGTATTTCCTCATAATCAAAATCTATTTTCATTAACTAGGAGCTAAATCTGGTCAAGGCAAATCATAGATGTTGGAGTATCTTTTTTCTCCTTAGACCTTTGACAGATTGATCAATAGCTTTAATGATCCTTAGAACAATAAAGGTGGGTTTATGGTTAGTCAGTTTGCTGATAAGGTCAGAAGGGAAGAACTGAGATAAAATATTATCTGCACTGGGAATCCAAACACTCAGAAGAAGGCAGTAGGAAACCGTTTCTGTATTGTTATCAAGAAAACATTATGGGCATAGCTGAAATAGTTAAACAAGTTTGGAGGCCAAATGTTGCTGCTCAGGTCAGAAGTTATTGCAGTCAATAATGATGCCAATATTGAAATGGGGGTTAGTGAAGGAAAGGAAGGGTGAGGGAGAAACTGAAGCTGATAAAGCAGAAATGAAATGAACAGGAATGAGATGCATTAAATCAGATTGTTACTATTAAGAATATGAGACCTTGTTAAGGTATGACAGACATAAAATTGACATTGCTAAGTAAGTTTTTGTCCATAGCTCATAAGTAACAGAATCATACCTACTAAAATTGGAGGCTAATTCATTTAGAATCAGTGTTATACAATTGTATGCTATTATTATAGATGTAGTGGTTAAAGGCTGAATAATTCTGTGACAGATTGCAGGAGATAATCTAGAAATGTAATACATCCACCACTCACTGTTAATTGCTTATTACAATAAAAAGTTGGAGAAAGATTAATTTCTAATTATAGGACCATTTCAATCATATAAATATAAAGACGGGAGTATAATAGTCTGGACATTTCCAGGAGATATCCAACCTGGAAATAAGGAGCAATTCCCTGCCAGTGAGAACAGTTAGTCAATGGAACATCTTGTCTTCTGCAGTCATGGCTTCTCCATCATTGGAGCTTTTATGAAAATACTAGACAACCATTTATGAAGGATGGTATAAGGACTCCTGCCTTGAGCAGGAGTTGGACTAGAAGACCTCCAAGCTTTCTTCAGATCTATGATTCTGGGATTCTATCATATACAATTTAATCATAAGATCATAACAAAGAATAGATTTAGTACATTTAACTTGAGTGAAAGAGATCTGAGAAACAATGGGAAGAAATGAGAGATAAAAAAAAACAAGGTAAGAAAAAAATCCCAAAATTTGAAAGAAAAAAAAAGATCCAAGTCAGGTTATTTTGAAATAACCTGTCATGATATCCAGGGGAAGTCAAGACGAAAGCCTTATACGTCATAAAAAAAGTAAAACAGCCAAACATAGATGTGGTGAGAACCTAGAATAAAATCTTATACAGACTTTATAGATCATGCAAAAATAAAGTATGAATGGTAATTAGAGATAGAAAATAAAAATGCAACTCATGTAGTTAGCATCTTTTTACTTATCTTGGCTTGCCTCTTTTTTTTTTTTTTTTAGTTGTTTTGCTTTGATGCAGTTGCCTCAAAGCAAAATAGAAATTGAAGGTACTTGCATTCCTCTCCGTGACTGTCCTATGTTTTTTTGTGTGTGTTTTTAGAATTGGATACATCCTTTCTCTTTTCTTTCTTTTATTACTGATACAGTGGAGAAAGGTTTTTTGATTGGTTTTAGTTTCAGTGCTTTAGTCTTCTTTCTGCAGATGTTAGTCATTTTGCTGGTATAACACCTTGGTGATTATACCCGTCTTCCATTCCCTATACATATCCCCTTTTGTTCTTAATTCAATTGAAAGTTCCCAGAACATCCACAGCAGCTTCCTAAGGTATCTCCTCCATCTTTTCTCTCATTAGAAAGAGAAACATCCAATTATCTTTGGTATCTTGTTTTGGAGCATTTTGACCTGAGTATTTCTTTTCACGCAAAGCCAGCTGGTAAAATTGTTGAAATGAGCTTTCTCAATCTAAGGTGCAAGTATTGCTGTGCTCCAGTTTCTCCAATTTTCTCCTAAAAAATAGCACAGATTCCAAGAAAAGATACAACAAAACAATTTTTTTAACCTTTACATTCAGAAGCACTACATTGTCGTGTTGCTTATCACTGCACTATATTACTTTCTGCTTGAGGTCTCAGCTTCTACTCCACTCTCTTTTTATCTGAGAAAAAGAATGTTTTGAAACTGAACAATTAGATTGCAATGGAAGCTAATTGTTACCATTTTTATTCCTCCCAATAGAGTGCATCTGGAGACTTAATGATTAGGAATATCCAGCTGAAACACAGTGGAAAATATGTGTGTACAGTGAAGACTGAAGTGGATAGTGTATCATCTGCAGCAGATCTTATAGTACGAGGTATCTTTATTTAAGGAATACCATTTAGAGGTATTATATGTAATTTCTTCAGGTAGCGCATGTGAATGAATCTCTTTTAACTACAGTATATTTTACAGACATATACCACTTTTCATGTATTTGTGTGAATGAAGGCAAGCGATGAAAACATCACAACGTATTTTATTTATTTGTACCCCTCCTTTATTATTCTTACAAATAATTTCAGGCGAACATATCCAACACTTCTTCCTCCTCCTTTTTTCCCCACAACAACAACCACCCTGTGAGGTGAGCTGAGCTGAGAGTGAGTGACTTGCCCAAAGTCACCCAGCTGCTTTTCAGGCATAAGGCAGGACTTGAACTCACAATCTCCCGCTTTTTAGCCTGATGCCTTAACCACTAGACCAGGAGTGTCAAACTCACGTCGTCACAGAGGCATCACATGACATATCGGGACTTTTTTCCCCCTTTGCTAAACTGGGCAGGGCCAGCGCATGACGCATCCGGCCCACAGGCCAAGAGTTTGACAACCCTGCACTAAACCAAACTGGTTCTCTGACAAGTTCTCCTTAATAGTGAATTAAATACATTAATGAATTCTAAAAATAGAAATTAATGTAATTACAGGTGCTCAAATCTATGTATTTGAAATATTTTTCTACAGATAAAGCAGCACTTTCGGTTCTATAGGACTGAAGGTCTTGCTATTAAAAATTGGCCTTGAACTGTACTTCCAAACATCCAGTACTCACAGTGTCCATATTCATTCCACTGTTTCGAGCTATATAAATAATACTCAGAGGCATTCTTTAATAGGTAGGGAAATTATAATTAAATACAAGATTGGTGAATAGTATGGTTTCCGGCTGATATATTAGCATTTTATACTAATGCAAATCTATGATTGGTTACCACATAATACCTTCCGTTCAGCATTATTTTGTAAGATTTGATACTACTTTCATTTCTTAATATACTTGCCACAAACCATAAGAGCATTCACGATAATTGAAGTGATTATTGCATTTATAAATACTACTGGCTTTTCATACAGGTAATTTCTGAAGATGCCAGTAGTATTTATAAATGCAATAATCACTTCAATTATCGTGAATGCTCTTATGGTTTGATTCACCTTGCTTTCTTACAGACACAGTGCTTAGTGTTTAGGTAAGAATAGTATTTTCTCCATCAAACTACCTGCATGTGTGAATTAATTTTGCAAGCTTTCTTATTTAAACATAAGTGTTCAGAATGGAACAGTGTTTGGAAATATAGTCTCCATGTCCAACCTGAGGCTGATAATGCCATTATAATAATAATTTGTAGCCTGTTTTCCGGTATAGACAATAAAATATTTTTAAAACGTTTCAAAATACAAATATAAAGCCAATCCTATTTACAATGAACTCAGAAGAACATGACTTGGAGAATATGTTAAATGTGGACTTTCCAACAATAGAAAATCATTGTTTTTCAGTGGGGCTTTAATTTGCTCTGCTCTGCTCTGCTCCCAAAGACCTTCCCCTCCTAGAAGAAAAGTCAAATCCCTAGTGCTGTATTGCTGTCCATGGTGCTGATATTGTGTTAAGCTTCACAGCAAAACTGCTTTAGATAGCAACTTGTCAGACCCAAAACATTGACAGATTCAGGACAGGATATTACATACTAAATTAAAAGGCACAATTTAAAGGTAGGGAAATCTGAATAAACATCTCAGAAAGAATGCATAATCTAGTGTCCTTTTATTGAATTCCTATTTTACAGCTTCCTTTTATTATATAAAATAACAAATCAATGGTTTGGTGAATGTACAAATATCTCTTTTTTTGCTCTATCAATTGATTTATTCTTATTTACCGTGGTGGAAGAATAAAAAAGCATTTCGTATTGTGTGGTATTATATTGTTTTAACTTAACAAGATCACAACCTACTTTAAAATGTGCTATTTTACTGCATTAGGTTCACCTGGACCTCCAGAGCATGTAAAAGTGGATGAAATAACAGCTACAACAGCTCAAATTTCTTGGTATGAGGGCTTAGATAATCACAGTCCAATCACTGGCTACACTGTTCAGGCCAGGACACCATTTTCAGTGGGTTGGCAAAGAGCCAGAACAGGTAAAGTTTATAGCTATCCTTGGAAATTTTATAACTCTTGGGAAAAAATGAGAAATTCATAATTTCTTCCAAAATGTTTTATAACAGTTCCTGATGTCATTGATGGGAGAACATTCTTGGCTGCCGCAGTAGATTTAAACCCTTGGGTTGAATACCAATTTCGTGTAGTTGCCAACAACAAAATTGGAGGTGGAGAACCTAGTTTACCCTCAGAAAAAGTAAGAACTGAAGAGGCAGGTTAGTGGGTCTCTTTGTTTGCTTGTTTCATTTGATAATTTCAGCATAGCAAAGTGGGTCTTATTGCTTGCAACCTTTGTAATATATTTTCCCACTTCACTACCCAATCTGGCTCAAGAGATGGGAGGAAGATGTGTTATTCAGCATCTATCAAAGCATTAATATTTTGACAGTGTACACAAGGACAAGTATGCAAAATTATATTAATTTAAACAATCAAAAAAGAAGATTGAATAATGTAGTGTTGCTATGCTACTGAGATTCAGTCAACTCAGAGCCACCTATCCTTTAAATAAAAAAAAATCCTTCCATAAGAGAATGTCTTTAACACAGCTTTCTGCTGGCAAAGTTAATGCATTGTTTTTGGCACCAATGAACAACTGTAGATGAGGCATAATGAGTGGATGTATCTTAAACCCTCAAGTTAAGGGAAACTAATTTCAGTCAGCAAGAGTTGGAGATTACTAGAGCAGGTCACTAAGTATTACTCTTGTTTGATGTTTAGCTCTGGAATATTATAAGAGAGAAAAAAACTTATGTGGAAATAATAAAATTATTCTATATTGCAGTTCTTTTGTTAAAGTTTAGAAAAATAAAATTAAATGTAGATACAAGTTCAGAGTTTAGCTCACAATAGTTAAAAAAAACCTTATTTTACAATTTTTAAGGTGTAAAGAGAGAAAGTAGATTTGTGTGATTATTGAACAGAAGTGTTATATACTTATTTATTGCATAAGAATAAGATTTCCTTTAGAATTTTTAGAATATGTTAGTGCCTATATTGCTTGTGTGTCTTACACAGTCTGTTTTGTAATATTTGTGCATACATATATTCTCGCTCTTTTTTTTTCAGGATAGCATAATATATGTAGTCCTTGACTTAGAACCTCAATTGGAACCAGATATGTCATTACGGCCATAAGTCAAGACATTCACATAACCAGTTGATTTTGTAAACATTTACAACATTTTTTTGCAGCAGTCATTAACTACATCTGTGGTTGTTAAGTGAATGCCACAATTGTAAATGCAAGTGCATTCTTCCAACTGTGTAGTTTTTGCTGGAAACTGGCAAAAAAGTCAATAAATTGCACAGTCACATGACCACGGAATACTATAACCGGTCATAAAGGCAAGGCAATTCCCAAGTGCTTGAAATGAATATATGTGACTGCATTTCAAGGGATTTTTGTGGCATGATTTTTGACAGTGCCAGAAATTCTTTAGAAACTTTAAAGCACAAGTGCCAGGCCCTTCATAATTTTGAACAGTCATTAAATGACTGGTCATATGTCAAGGATTACTTGTACTCCCAATGCATGGGGTTTTTTTCCAGCTGCTTCATGTAGATGTTAAATAAAGGGAAGGAACTAAGCCCCATCACACCTCACAATTAATGTCTACTACATTGATATGTCCTCCTCTATAACCACTAATCAAAATAAGCCACTAAGGAAATACTAGAAAAAGTGCTTCTAATCCCCAACTCCTGTAAGTGGAGAAAAAAATATACCATTATGATACTAAATATTGATAAAAGGTTCAGAAGCAGTTAACTGCCCAGCTGCCTCACCCAGACCTTAACAAGGTTATCAGCATATGAAAACATATAATGTTGGTTTTCTTCTTCACAGTTCCAGAAGTACCACCATCTGAAGTAAGTGGAGGTGGAGGCAGCAGGTCTGAATTGGTCATAACATGGGATGTAAGTCCTCCTCCTCTTCCCTAGTAATTCATAATTAACTAACATGTATCCATACATACCAATATATTTAACTGTGAATGTGAGTAACTGACAAATACATATCATATCATATCATATCATTGGCTTGTTATGTACATATTCTGTTTCTTTTTTTTTAATTTGATATTTTACTGTGGTACAATTTTTTATACATTTATTTACACAGTTAGTGTAACATTCCATAGTTTATCCATGGTTTTACATATTTTTATAGCAGTACCAAGTGGAGAATTCTGGGTCTATTTTCCTTAGCCCGACTGGCCATAGACGGCTACCCAAGCAGACACACAGAAGATTCTTTAAATTGTTTTACTAATACCACAATCTTACCCAGAGAAAGAAAGAAAAAGGGTACTTCCAGCCATAATCTTTCCATTTACAAAGCTCCTGAAAGCAAACGATAGCATAAGAAACAGATGTCTGGAGGTTATTCTAGAGCCATGATGGTGAACCTATGGCACACATGCCACAGAACCCTCTCTCTGGTCACACCAGCTGTTGCCCAGCCTAGCTCCACCGTTCATGTGCGCGCGCCTCCTGCCGACCAGCTGGTCTTTGGGTCTCTTTCCTGCATGCACCGGGCCTTCCCTGATCTTCACAGTTGTTCCCCCCAGTGTGTGCTAGCTTTCTCTTGCATTTTTGCCACCCATACCTTCTCCAATCTCTGCAGGTTTCACCTTCCGCAGGTGCCTCTCCATGGCAAAAATGCAGGAGAAAAGTAGTGTGCGCTGGGGGGAGAAACTGAGGAGATTGGAGAAGGCACGGGCAGCAGAAATGCAGGAAAACTAACCTAGAAGCCAAAATGGTGGGGGGCGGGCAGGGCACATGCACAAGGGAGCACATGCACAAGGGGCGCTTGCATTGCATTTTGGGGATTGGGGCACACATGCGTGCATTCGCGTGCGCCCTTTGTGCACTCGGCACCAAAAAGGTTAACCATCACTGTTCTAGAGTAATGAGAAAACCTCATGTGGGAATGCCCTCTATTAAACTGAATGACTCATTTCATATATCCATACTTTGAATTATACTCCACTTTTCTACCATATGAATAACTCCAGTCTTTTTACAGTTAAAGCTTATTGTAATGCTACTCTGATTAGGTTTCAGTTCTATTTCACTAGTTAAAACCTTCATCTTACACTCCTTTTTTCATTTTTATATTTTTTATTTTTTTGTAATTTTGTAATTAAAGTTATGTAATTTATTTTTATATTCAACAGTGTATTGTGTCTTTCAAATTATTTTTATTAATTTTTATTAATTATTATATTATTATTATTATTATTATTTATAAGGTTTCCTGGGAATGAAATAGATGTTATCCATTATTCCTTTATTCATTTTAACAACTCTTCCTTTTAATACATATGAATTTATTACATAGCAGTAATTAAATATCTATTTGGTTTCATATTAGTATTTTGTCTTCCTAGTTCATGTTAAGGAAAGGCTTAATCTGTTTTATATTCTGTATAGCACTCAGTTAACTACTGGTGCTTAATAACTGGTTGACAATGATCACTAAATATATTTATGCAATATATCTTGTAGTTATATTTTGACTTTCATTGAAAAGGCATAAGATAATGCCATGAAACATTTAATTTCAGGTTTTAATAAAGGACAAGGTGAACAGTCAACCTGAAGTCAAGCACTTTATTAACTAACTTGATATATATATTTTTTGTCATCAAAAGAACAGATTTAAAAAATTCTGACATTGAAGACATTGTAAAACAAAGAGCATAGTCTTCAAAGCTTTAGCTAAAATAACTTGGAAAACATACTGTAAATCCCATAGAACTATATATGAAATTCCATGGACTTCAAGGTCCTAGATGCCATTCTTTCAGTTTTATTTAATATACTGTCTTAGCAGTAAGAGCCACTAAATGTCCTGGGAGCTATTGTCAAATAAGTAAGCTTACATGTAGAAGTTCAGTGTATTCTAAATTTTCATATACTGGAGGTCATTTTTTTCCTTAATTTTACTAAACTAAAATTATTAGCCTTCAGAAAGCTATGCTATTATAATGATTGATTAGAGGTTTTATGATATCTCAAATATTGTCAAATTAGAAGATTACATTTCTACAAGGATGATGTTGATGATTAATGATTAATAATGATGATTTTAGTATCTTATTTGCATACCATCTATGTGTTTAGCCAGTTCCTGAAGAATTACAGAATGGTGAAGGATTTGGTTATGTAGTTGCTTTCCGACCTCTTGGCATTACAACCTGGATACAGACAGTTGTTACATCACCTGACACCCCAAGATATGTCTTTAGGAATGAAAGCATCTTACCATTTTCACCCTATGAAGTCAAGGTTGGCGTATACAATAATAAAGGAGAAGGACCGTTTAGTCCAGTGGCCACAGTGTATTCTGCTGAAGAGGGTGAGTTACTGAATAATTTTATTAGGCATTTTATCTGCAAATGAATAAAAGAGGAATTTGTTTTGTTAATTTCAATGCAGGCATTTGAATTGACTGGAAAATTAGTCACCTTAGATTTCTCTTTTTTTCATTAGTATTTTTTGTTCTTTGTCTCCTAATTCAGAGCCTACAATAGCTCCTTCTGGTGTATCTGCAAACAGTCTCTCTTCTTCCACAATTGAAGTTACTTGGATTCCCATTCCTTGGAAAATGGGCAGTGGGAGATTATTAGGCTATGAGGTAAAATCATTTTTTGTTGTACTTCTTCCTTACTGTGATGGGATGCTTTTTGCTTTCAAATAATTATTCATTTGCAATAGTAAGCCTATGTTTCCTATTAAGATTCAGCCTTCCGGTCTCTGTTTCGCATTAGAAAAATGAGTCGTGGAAACTTATAGAAATTTTATTTTTTTCCCCATTCCCTCCACTCCTACTTTATTTAAATGGCTTCAAAGCCATTCAAAGTTGAAGAAGCAGCTTTCTGCTTCTGAACACATGGCATAGCTGCAAATTAATCTAATCTTATGGGGAATATAAAAGCCAAATGTAAATATTCACAGATTTTACACACAACTTGAGTTTTAGCTTTTTTGCTGGCATTACACCAGATCAATTATAGCAAGATCACAAAAACTGCACTGAGAATGAAAATTAACTGGCAACCAACTTCTATACGTGCTTGGTTGGTATCTGCTGCATCCATGACAAGCCCACAATATTTAATCTAAATGCATCCTATATAAACCTGGTTGTATTTAAGTACACAAAGGTTTTGATTTTGTAAAATTGAATATGAGCAAGGCCTTTTTTTGAAGTTGACTGCAAAAATAGGTGCAGAATTTGATGCTCAGGTACACAATTTGATTCTTCTGTTTTTATCTACACAGTAGAAAAACTGCTATGCCCATCCAGCTGTAGAAGTCTATTCAGTAAATATATCTTCCTTCAAATCAAAATAAAACTCTTTAGGATTTCATAGAGGTATATACAGTATTTTTCTTCCTAGTGTTTTTTCCTCACGACAACCTGGAAACAACATTTCATTTCACTTATTTTAATTAAGCAACAAAGTATAGATCTGAGCAAGCAATGGTGTCAGCAATGTGATTTAAATTAATATGTTACTTATTCCCTATAGGTAAGATATTGGAACAATGGTGGGAAAGAACAGTCTTCAAACAAAGTAAGAGCCACCGGAAAGGAGACCTCAGTGAAAATAACAGGCTTGATGAGCAACTTCGTATATTATACAGCTGTTCGAGCATACAACAGTGCAGGAGCAGGTCCTTTCAGTGCCACTGTCAATGCTACCACAAAAAAGCCACGTAGGTATCTTCAGGAACATTAAGAGCAGAAGTGGGAACCCATTACTTCCAAGTCAAAAATTCCCATCTCTTTTTAAAAAGCGTCTTAGATAGTGGTGGGATTCAGCCGGTTCTCTCCGGATCGGGCAAACCGGTAGCAGGGACCATGGAAGGTTCCGCCCACCCACCCAGATGTAATGCACGAACACTGCGCATGCGCAGAAGGCCATGCACATGCGCAGATGAGGTGTGTGCGCTCAATTTGTGAACCAGTAGGGAAGGTAAGTGAATCCCATCATTGGTCTTAGAGTTTTCTGTTATATTCTTTGGAAATGTATACATACTTGCTATCTCAGTGAATTAAAAATTACTTTGTATCTTCTGGAAAAGAAATAACAATTTAAATGTAATGCAGTGTATGCTACTTTAGGCATTGTGAGATACAAAAAAGCAATTAGACTTCAATACATTCCTGCCCCAATATTGTCAATGTATTAGAAACATTACTATTATATTGAAGGTAATTAGAAAGCCATTTTTACAGGAATTCTGGAGCTTCATTTGTTCATTAAAGCCTGGCTGTTCCAGAACTTATTTCATTTTCCTCTATATAAAGCTGCTTTTGAATTTCTGTTGATTAAAAATCTGTGTACAAGTAGTCCTCAACTTACGACCTATTGCTTAGCAACTGTTCAAAGTTACAATGGATTCCCTTAAAGATACTGATTCTGAAGTTCTGAGTCACATGACTACATTTCAGGCACAGCAGTCGGCCGTATTTATGGCTGCTTGCAATATCCCATAGTCACAATTTACAACCATAATGGGAAGGCTCCATTATGATTGTAACTCAAGGACTACCTGTACAGAATTTTATATACCTATAGCTATATGTCAAGGGCTTTATATTGGGATGAACATGTAGTAGCATAAGTTATTTCAGCTTCCATTATCTCCAAGTTTAGAAGCGAAAAGTTAATTTCCATCTCTACCAAGCCTCAAAATCAGTTTAACTCCTTTCACTCTTGAGTAACTACAAGTATGAGCTCTATAAGTTGTGTGAACAGAAATAGAAAATAAAACATTTTCTTTATTTTTCTTTCTCCTTTTATTATCCTGCCATGTAGTTTAGCATACCCAATGAGTCTTTCTAGGTATTACTTCCCTTTTGTCATCAACACACATCAAATTGGATTAGTAAAGTTCTGTTAGTGTTAGTGTCACAAACTTTTCGGAGAGTTGCTTGCCATTTTTGGATAGATACTCCAGAAATTTATGTAGACTTCCAACTTGGTAATGTCCAGAGTGCTGATCTAACAATATTTTTATTAATGCAATTTATATAGCTGCTTATCTATGCAAGAAACTCTCAGTAACAAACCTTATAATAGCAGACAGTTTTGTAAGTGGGAAGTATCTTCTCAGATATTTAATATTTCCACTGTACAGATTTTCAGTATACACTTTCATCTTTGTCTGATCTTTGATTCAGTTATCATCAGTCCACTAGTATCCTTTAAAGGAGCCAGTTTAGTGTAGTGATTAAGGCATGAAGTTACAAACCAGGAAACTGAGTTCTAGTTCCACTTTAGGCACAAAGCCAAAGATCCTTGGGCCAGCCACTTTCTCTCAGCCATAGAAAGGAAGCAATGGCAAACCACTTCTGAAAAAACCTTGCCAAGAAAATTTTAGGGACTTGTTCAGGCAGTTTTCAAGAATCAGACATAATTGAATGGAAAAAGAAACCTTTAGCATACCAATTATAGAATGTAAATTCTTTCTTAAGTTCAGATATTTTTTTAAGACTTCTACAACTTCACTTTTGATGTTTTTACAGATATCATTGTAAAACTACTTGTTTCTTCTAATAGTTCTTTGGAATTCTTTAGAATCTTCTTTGATTCTTTTCATATTGTATCATTGAAAATGGTAGGTATGTGGTCAAGATCATATTACAGTAATTGATTGGCTTTCATCTGCTGCTTTAGCTCATCTTGGGAATTGCAAAACTACAATAATAAATGTCAAGAAGCACAGTGGAAAAAATGGGACTGAGAATAAATAAAAAGAAAATAAAACTATAGTAACCATCCCTAGAAATGAACAATGAAGGTACTGAAGTGGGGGATACTTTCTGTTTTTTAGGATTGACTGTTAATACTATCAGAACCAGCAGTCAAGAACTACCCTGCAGATTTGCCCATTGTAGATAGCCATGAAGATCTTTGAAAAGATATTCAGATGCTGTGATGCATTTATTCCTACAAAGATCAAAATCATGAAGACACTCTGTGGAAGCAAAAGTTGGACTTTGAAGAAGTAGGGATATTAATGCTTTTGAACATTAGTAGTCAAGAAAACAAAAAAATGAGATCAAATAAATCAGCCCAGATTTCTCACTTGAGGCATAAATATCCAGGTTCAAATAATCATACTTTGGATATATTATGCAATGATCTAATTGCTGGAAAAGTCTGGGATCCTGAGAAAGATAGAAGGATGCAATAAAGAGGACAGCTAGCAGCAAGTTCAGTGAACTCAGTTACAGTAGTAAGGTATGCATCATTGAATGACCTGAAAGACCAATCTGAAGTCAGAAATTCCTATGGAAAATCTGTGGATACTTTAACTTGGTAGAACATAATCAATCATCTCAATATAATCTCCAAAATTCTTTGCTCAGTACAAAATTGAAACCAGATAATTCTTTGTTCTCTCTCCCTCCCTCTTTATCTTTTTTCCAGTCCCCAGTTTTGTCAATCTTTTCTGTTTCTTATAACTTTAGATTTGCACCGATATTTATAGTATGCAGATACTATCGTGTACCTGATAATTCATAGTCGTACCATCAATACCTATTAAATTGGAGGTCATCCTGAGAGCAAGCTACACAACTGATCATTAGCATGCTTAGAAATTGATGTCCAAAGTTTAATTATTTATGACTTGACCAACTGCTAATCTAATTGTCCTGCGATTTTAGAAAATACCAACTTGTGACTAATAGGTCTTTCCTGGCAATCAAGTAGGACTAAAATCTACTGAGTAATTTCAGCAGTATTTATAAGAGTGACTCCTCTATTCAGTTTTGCTGGAATTCAATTCAATTCAAGTTGGTGGAATTATTTTTCCCATGTCAGCCTATGTGTTCTAGGATTCCCTGATCCCCAGGGAATTCCAAATACATTGATTTTTTTTCTATTCTATTATAATTGTAATTATTTTATTCGGTAATTAAATTATCAAGAGTTCAGATAATGCCTTCTTGCAAAATCCCAATCGCTGTTCTTCCATCATTTGATTCAAAATGTAAAGTGGTGTCTGTTTTTTTTTTTGCAGTCATTCATAGGAATATGAAACAAGATATTAAAGAAAGAAGAAAAAAAGAGAATAATGACAAAGAATTGTGTAGACAATTATGCAAAGGATCACCTGTACATGTGTGCATGTCTATGTGTTTGCATGTATTTCATCCTAGTTTGTAGTAGTTTATTTATGCCTGTTTGAAATGGCATAAGCATCACTTGCAGGCTTGGGTGTGAATTTCACTCAGCAGAATATTCAATGGAATTCAATCACTTTAAAAAAATTGTATCCTTCTAAATGTTTTCAAACACAAAAACAATGTACAAAGGATGTGGTGACAGTCAAGTACCTGGATTATTTGCTTTGACATGAGAAATTTCAAATGCCAAGTAAATTTAAATCTTGTATTCATTATGTTTTTAAGCACCCAGCCAGCCTCCAGGAAATTTAGAGTGGAACATTACAGACTCCAGGGTAGTGCTGAACTGGGAACAGGTGCACGCCATGGAAAATGAGTCAGAAGTAGTGGGCTATAAGGTAAGTTAAAGCAAGGCAATACTGATGTAACAAAAACCGCACCTTGGAAATATCAGCATTCTCTTTTTTCACTACAGCTATGTTATTGTCCATTTTAAAATCTAGGACTCAACTTATAGCAGTTCATTTAGTGACCATTCAAAATTACGGTGGCATTGTAGAAAGTGACTTAGGACCATTTTTCACACTTACAACCATTGGCAGCATCCCCATGGTCACATGATCAAAATTTGAATGCTTGACATCTGGTTCATACTTATGACGATTGCAGTGCCCCGGGATCATGTGATCACCTTTTGCAATCTTCTGACAAGCAAAGTCAATGGGGAAGCAATTCATTTAACAGCCACATTACTAACTTAACAACTGTAGTGATTCATTTAACAGCTACAGAAAGAAAGGTTGTAAAATGGGGCAAAATTCACTTAACAAATGTCTCGTTTAACAACAGAAATTTTGGGCTCAATTGTGGTCACAGGTCGAGTCTACGCAATCTTTTGCAGTCAACGCAGACTCAAAGACCAAATAGTTAGATAGATGGTTGGTAGGTAGGTAGGTAGGTAGGTAGGTAGGTAGGTAGGTAGATAGATAGATAGATAGATAGATAGATAGATAGATAGATAGATACAAAGATATATCATTTTAACCTGCAAGTACTCTGGGATAGATACCATGTTGATTCTTATTTATTCATATTCATATTGATGGTATGTAATTATATATTTACGTATTTTATGCTGTATAATTACTGTGATTATTGTGTACTGTTCAATTTGTATACCACTTTTCAACATAGATATGTCTTAGAGATTTCCAAAACAAAAATACAATACACTGGTTATAGGAAGAAGTAAAACTATTTATTTTGCTCTCCTTTCAGAACATATAGCAATACAGCAAATAATACAATATCATCTAATAAGCAAAAATTAATCCTTTAGTATTCGTCATACATATTTAGAAAACTCAGCTATTTAGATGAAATTCCATGCATTGGGTAGGCTATCCATGTCATAACCTTCGTGCTGTAAATAATCATATTTATCTCAACATATGGCTAGCACTGAATTGCAATCCCGTGCAGATATGGGAATGAGTCCCACAGATGGCATAGTGACTTGGTACTGAAATAGTACTTCTTTTCTTCAGTGTTTCTGCCAATCATCCTTATGACCTCCCAGCTTATTTCATTCCATTTACCCTCCAAATTTACATTTATCAACCTATGTCTGATATGCAATATGGAGGATTGGGGAATAGCTAATTTCCCAAATTTTTTCCTAATATTTGTGTGCTTCCTTAAATCTCGTAGAAGTTATCTTAAGACTGCAGATACCTTCCTTTTTCATGTAGATACAGTTATATATTTTATTGAATTTAAAAAAATGTATTAGTACTATATAATAAATGGAAAGTTAAGATTTCTGAAGAAATATGATTAGGATTAGAATGCACATGATTTTGTTATTTCTTGCTACATAATATCATGAAAGTATATACTGCAAAACCTCAATTGAATAGAATCAAAAATCATGTGAAGTATTAGTATCACTTTATAAATCTTTAGTAAGACCATACCAGGAATACTACATCCAGTTTTGGTCACCACATTACAAAAAAGATGTTGAGACTTTGGAAAAAGTGCAGAGAAGAGCAATCAAGATGATTAAAGGTCTGGAGACTAAAACATATGAAGAACAGTTGCAGGAATTGGGTTTGGCTAGTCTAGAGAAAAGAAGGACTGGGGTGATAGGATAGTAGTATTCCAGTATTTGAGGGGCTGCCACAAAGAAGAGGGGGTCAATTTATTTTCCAAAGCATCAGAAGGCAAGGCAAGAAAGAATGGATGGAAACTAAACTAAGGAGAGAACCTGGAATTAAGGAGAAACTTCCTAACAGTGAGAACAATTAACTAATGGAACAGCTTGCCTTCAAAAGTTGTGGGTACTTCACCATTAGAGGGGTTTAAAAAAAAATGGGACAACCACTTGTCTGAAATGGTATAAGGCAGGGTTGTCAAACTTCTGGCCCATGGGCCGGATGTGTCACACACTGGCCATGCCCCCGCCCCCATTTTAGCAAAGGTGAAAAAAGTCTCAATACATCACGTGATGCTGCCATGATGACGCGAGTTTGACACTCCTGACATAGGGCATCCTGCTTGAACAGGGGGTTGAACTAGGAGACCTCCAAGGTCCCTTCTACCTCTATTCTGATTGATTGATTGAATATATTATTTGGGGGGAGGGGGACAAGATGCCTGTTAAATCTGAATATCTGTTAAATCCAAATGTAATACTTAGTTAATAGGCATAATTATTTAATTGCTGTTTTATATCTTTGTACCAATGTGCTTTAGTTGGCTAATCATACGATTATGCAAATGATGTAAAATGAAAAGTATATAATTATGCAATTACATTAATTGTCTGAATTGCTTTGGAAAACCCAAGATTTTGTCCATTGTTTGAAGTGAAGTTGTAATTAAAACTTTGTTGGTGCACCTGAAATTTATTGAATGAAGATCCAGACAATTGAGGTTGTACTGTGTGCATTGTTTTCTTACAGTTCCCACCCATTTAATTTTTCAATCTTTATCTTTGTACATCATCCTTTCTTCAACAAATTCTATAGAGCATACAACCCTCTAACTATAGCCCACCTGTGAGGCAGTGGTTGTCCAAGACTATTCAATAAAGCAAATAATATGAATATAAGAAGCAAAAGTGTTAAGTATCCCTTAAATAGCCTATTCCTGGGATGAGTTCTGGGAACACATCACTTGGGCTTCTGGATGGGACCAGTTTAAGGAAATACACTATATTATGCCTTTCTCCGTCCATTCTTTCAACTTCTGATTTACTATTGGGGGAAATTAGGAAAGATGAAATAAGAAATCTGAAAAAGTTACTGTATGCATAACTCTGACTAACCATCAGTAACATTAAAGATAATATTTTAGAATATGCAGAATAAAATCAGTTAGAAACTGCTTTTAATTAAGCTTCTTACCAAAGTTGCTTAGAACAAAATCTCTATTCCTTCATTCCATATATTATGAACAGTTAAATAAATTATCTGGACTATAGCCAATTGTACGTAAATTCTGTTCTGAAGAATGTTTATTATAATGGAATTCTGCATGTTATTCTGAAATAAATAATAATTTAAATATAGCATGAAAGACAATTAAGTTTTATCCAAATTAATTTCTTGCTATATGCAAGCTTTCTTTTACCACGGTTCATAAATATTCACCTTTTTTTTTGTTTGCTTTAATATCCATACTCCTAGTTCCTTAGATACTTACCTGAATTCTTGGTACAGGTAAAGTCAAATTCCAATAGAATAATCTATTTGTTTGAAAGATCCCATGACTGACAAACCAAAATATCCAGCCTCTTTTTCACCCTTTTTCAGGAATCTTTTTTTTTCCTTTTATCTAAAAATGATGTTAAACGATGATTAAGTAGTATCACTAAAATCATCACTTTTCTTTTTATGCTGCAGGTTTTATATTGGACTAGCAGTCAGAACCAGCTCAGTATCCTGGACACAAATAGAACATTTGCCGAACTTTTGCTGCCTTTGAATGATGATTATGTTATAGAAGTGAAAGCAGTGACTGATGGTGGAGATGGCATTAGCAGTGACCAGATTAAAGTCCCCAAATTAGCAAGTATGTTTACAGGATACTAATGCACAACGTTTTGTTAAAAGACGGTTTATCTTCAAGATGAAACTTAATATAAGATGTGTATGTTATTTGATGAAAGAAGTTGATCTTGTCTTTCGGGTGAACTTGCTTCCAAATAAAGGGCTGTGCTGAGGTTTTCTACTTTTAGCATATCATTTTGCATAATATGGCCAAAATAGGAGGTGAATGTTTAATTTAAAAAGCAAAAGATGTTTCATCCCTCATTTACAATCTTCCAAGAATAGATTTTTACAAGGAAACTGCAGGAATTAAATAATCCTTAATTTAAGAAAATATGCTTAATTTAAGAAAATAAGGAAAAATATCTTTAGTGAATTTAGCAATAGCAATAGCACTTAGACTTATATACCGCTTCACAGTGCTTTACAGCAGAGGTGAAATGCTACCAGTTCGCAGCAGTTCAAGTGAACCGGTAGTAAAAAAATGCTACCGGTGATGCTACGATCAGCTGTGCCGCACGATTTATATTCGCTAGAAAGCAGGAAATCCTTCTTTCTAGTGAATCTAAATCGCGTGACACAGCTGATCCTCCCCTCACTGTTCTACTTAACTTCTTAAGCCTCGTTTTTCCGCATGCAGCGTGCATTTGGCAGCAAACCATGGAGGATTTCACCACTGCTTTACAGCCCTCTCTAAGCAGTTTACAGAGTCAGTATATTGCCCCCAACAATCTGGGTCCTCATTTTCCCCACCTCGGAAGGATGGAAGGCTGAGTCAACCTTGAGCCTCGTGAGATTCGAACTGTCAAATTTCAGGCAGTTGTTAGAAGTAGCCTGCAGTACTGCATTCTAACCACTCTGCCACCACAGCTCTTATTTTTATAAATATCTATATTTCCACCTAGTTATTTCTGATAGATCAAACAAATATTGTATTCTTGTAATGTATGTATGAACTCAAACCTTATTTTAAAAGTATATTGTGTGTTTCAGGAAAGATACAGTAAGTGATACAGTCTGGCTAACTGTGGCTGATCCCAACAAAGCTAGGAATAATCAGACCTTCCTAATACTTGGTTAAGAGACTACCAAAAAAAATCCCAGGGTTGTAAATTACATTATAAAACTTAGGATGGATGGATGGATGGACGGATGGATGGAATCATGGAAGTATGCAATGACAAATCTCTTTCTTGGTACTGCTCAAAAAAACCAATATGAACAAATTCAAATAGTTACCAGGAACTAGGCCCAACTTTTCAAAAGAAAGTTACATTTAACATATAATGTGTTTGGGAATTTATAATATAGGTGTACTCTGTTTGCAAACAAAACATAAAAGAAAAAGTAAAGGATGAAAAGCCAATATTCAAACAACAGGGTAGCATTAGAAATAAATTCCTGTGTTTTAGACCCATAAATAATTTAACTGAAAAAAATGTTTCTCAAAGTCCTAAAATCTAAAAACTTCTTGAATGCCAGATACCTGTGCTTAATTGGAGAGATGAGATTTATTGGCTGCATAAACATAATCAAGCCCAAACACATAGTCAGCATTTTCTATCTAGCTTTCACAGACGATTATTTATGTTGAACCCACTGGCTACTTTCACACCGTAAATAATTTCCAAACAAATTAATTAATTTGATTGTTATTTTTTAAAAATTGAATGTCGGAGCCTGTATCAGTAATTATGTTTGCAAAGAATGACAAATTAATCTTTTCATTGGTAGAAACAATTAATATTTACCAGAATTACAATTTGAAAAAACAGTGGCAGACAAAATATGTGTACCAATAGAGGAAATATTTGTAGTTTAGGGTTGAAATGAGGGGTCCTTGGTGGTCTGAGCTTCATTGTTTTCTTGCAGATCTTTCATTACTAGCACAGATGATATTACACTAGTTTGAGTATTGAAATGTCTGCAAGAAAACAACTGAGAGACCACCAAGGATCCCTCAAAAGATATGTATTTATTAGGAATGCTACCCTCACTTAGGTCTGCATCAATATTTCATCCATGGGAATTTTGAACAACTTATACAGGCTCTAAACTCTAATTGAGTACACTTGCTTTTTCAGTGGTCTCATCCAATTGGATGTTATCAAGAACCAGAAGAATATAGCTATCTTATCTTGGAATGGTTTTCCCTTTTGCCAAGAGTGAAACCATTAAGGTTGAAGATTCTTATCAGTAAAGATTTCATCAAGTCTAAGGAGTCTTTGTTCATATCAGATGGATAAGATTCTGATTAATTGTTCTGTTGAGAAATTTCTCCTTAGTTCTAGGTTGGTTATTGTTATTGGTAAGATGTTTCTCATCTTCAATCCAATTAATTATGAGAAACAATTAGGGAGGTTCTGTTTCTCATAATTAATTGGATTGAAGAGAAATTTCCCAACAAAACAATTAATCAGTGGACCAACTTGCCTCCAGAAATTCAGGGTGCTCCCAATCTGGAGGTTTTTAAGAAGAGATTGTGCAACCATTTGTCTGAAATAGTACAGGGTTCCTGCTGGTGTAGGGATTTGGACTAGAAGACATCCAAGGTCCCTTCCAAGTCTGTTATTCTGTTATTCTCAATACTCAGCAGGAACAGGGCAGAATATATAGCCTCATTATGAGCCTTTAGTGATTAAAATAAATGCTTACCTAATTCTGTATTACATACTCAACCGCTATCATAATAAAAAGTAATTCTATTGTTTTATTTTACACAAATTGGAGATTCAAAATAGTGCAATGTCAGTGGTGTGCATAAAACCATCAAATAGTAAAATATAACTATACAGTACGTATACAATGCTAACACTAAGAAAAATATGAAATTAACCATTTAAAAAAACTTAGCAAGAAATAGAACACCATGTTTCTATCAAACAGTGGGAACATATATTATTGAATTTGCATAGGACCCTTAGTAAACCTTATATATAAAGTTCCCAAGAGCCCCCAAAAACTCAAGCATTTCCATAACCTCACAGTCCCTTTTAAATATTTCTTTAAAAGCATGTCTGTCTACATTTCTTGTCCAATTATTGCTAGATTCCTTCTAAGCAGCTAGGAATATATAATATACCAGAATGATACCCAGAGCAATTTCAAACATGTATTTTAGTTTTAATATTTTTTCAGTTGTCTGGAGCTTCCCAATGAGTTCTACAATAGTCTTGCAAGCAACTACAGAAAAATAGGGACGAATCACCTGTAAGAATTTTTTTTAAATGCCATTGAAGGGCATCTTAACTCCTGGCAGCTACATAGAATTTTTAAGCAACATTTTTCAGAAGAAGTTTGCCCTTACTTTTATCCTAGGGCAGATGAAGTCACCCAGCTATTTTCTTGCCACAGGCAGGACTATAATTCACAGTCCCCCAGTATCTAGCCCAGTGCACCAAACTAGCTCTCAGGGAATTGAGAGTTTACTGTATGAAGTTGTGATTGAAGGCAGGTAAAAAAAACCCTGCAAAAATCACAGAAGTTTTATAAATCCAAAGAACATTGAACGGAATAGCAGGGTACTGTTAAAAATACACCTTTTTTTCTTCTTCCACTAATCTTTTATTTGTTTTTCATTTGTTTCAGGTATGGATGCAAGAGGAAGTTGTGCAGAAATCCTAAATTGCCTCTCCAGCTTGATGTCAATAACTCTGTTCTTGATTTTCAATGCAATATTGTGATAGTGTATTTTCAGATAGTGCAAGACCAGGTGTATCATTTACTTTGAAGTGCTTTTTAAGACAACCATTACAAGACCAACAGAAATAATAGGTGGGAGTTAATATGCATGCATTTACTACCAGTCTGCATTTAAACATTTTTTATCCTTTCTGATACTTCATTCTAAAGAAATAAAGATCATGTCCATCTCAAACAATTCCTTCTAAAGGAATATAAAATGCCTTAAGACTTAATGAACCAAAGGACTTTTTACATTACATATTTCTGAAGTGACAAAAATAAGAAGATGAGCATTGGAAAAATGCTTTGAGAGTCTTTATGTTTTCCAAGTAACAAGAAATTATTTTAACGTTATCTGAAATAAAAACCTTCTAATATTAATTTGCATTAATTACAAATTATATTTCACCACTGCTTGATGAAAAACCTTGAATAATTTTCTTAAAGCCCCTCAATGCTAGACTTCATTTGAATAAATGATTATCTCTGTTTATATTCATATAGACTGTACATATTTACTTTTGTTGTAAACTTGTTAAGTATAAAAAAAAACTGGTTTACTAAAAAGTTCAACATACTTCCATTTTTGTTTTATTTTTTTGCTTCATTAATTCTTCGACTAGTCCCCCCCCATTTTTGTTCATTTGTTTTATTTGTAGAAGCTATTCAAGGAGATAGCATTCTCCTCTGTTCTAGACTGATGCAATCTCCTAGAATGTCTTAGTTGAAAAATGTATTTTTTTTTAATTTGATTTATATGCCGCCTTCTCTGGAGACTCAGGGCGGCTTACAATGCACTAAGCAATAGCCTTCATCCTTTTGTATATTTATACAAAGTCAGCTTATTGCCCCCACAACTGGGTCCTCAATTTACCTACCTTAGAAAGGATGGAAGGCTGAGTCAACCTTGAGCCTGGCGAGATTCGAACCTGCAATAATTGCAGGCAGCTGGTCTTAATAACAGGGTGCTTTAGACCACTGTACTACCAAGGCTCTTGGTATTTACAAATACAACTGTATTTGTACAGTTTCAAAATTTAAAAATGGAAAATCCCAGGATTGGCATTTACATTAGAGCACTGAATGATATCTTATCTTTTTCATGTTTTTCCACCCACATAAAAAAGGAACTGTGCTTTTGGGTTCAAAACCATTTTAATCTATGAAGGTACTTCAGAAGCTTTACAGGACAAATTCACTTGCAACTCTTTTCATCCATGCAGCTTTCAATTGAGTGCTCACCATTTAGGATCCTCTTGATATATCAAACTCTAAAAGTATCTGCACTTATTTTATTTGTGCTTGCACATCCTTTTAGTAAGCTACTGTCACTCTTCTTGTTCTCTTAGTTTTACATTGTGTTTTTGTCTGTATTAGTATTTTGCTATGCTTTTTTTTAGATACAGATAAAGTGCCCAGAATAGAACATCACACTTCCAGTACAATGCACCAGAGCCTTATAGCCAGGAATAACTTCCTAAATTATATGTAATGTGTTTGAATATGCAACCTTCAATTTGTTGCTGTCCTAAATGCCAGGTTATACTCTCTTTGGATGTAGGTCCAATTGCAATGTTTCTATCCCATTGTTTAGAATTATTCTGGATGATAGATTCATTCCTGTTCTCTTATTTATATAAACAAATTTAATTTAATGTTTTCATTGCCAATAATGTATAAACATCCCTGTTTGCCATACCTTGTTTACAATTGCAATTCTTCTAAAAATAATTCTCACTTCAAATACAATTTGTATGAATTCACTTTTTCTGACCTTTCTACTGAATACTTGAGGTAGACTCTTGAACAAGATCTGTAAAAATTCAAACATTGCTCTATATTTTATTAGGTTTTCAGAACAAAAAAATAATCACATGACTACAGCTTTGACAGTTTCTCCTTTTTGGTGTCTGTATATAATGTACATAAGTAAAATAACACTGTAGCTACTGGCTCCTCAACATGGAAAATGGGAACTACTGATGCTTCCAAATAGTTGTCTTTCAATGAGAATAAAGTTCCTTTACATAATACATAGCAAATGTTCATCCACTGAATGGTAACTTTACCATTCATGTTACAAAAAAATTCTACACCATGTTCCTATTACTACCATTTTCATGATCAACTTACTGAATTTACCTTCTACTGCTATTGTCTCCATGAGATGTTTAGAATATACTAGTTTCATATTGAAAAAGTTTTGCCTAATTTTCTTTCAACTATTAGCTGTGTGTATATATCCTATGGCTATCTGTATGTATTTTTTTATTCTAATAAAATATTTATAATATTGAAAATTTCTAGTATGTCAGAATTTCAAATATTTCAGTATAATGGTAAAACCATAGATAGTTGTTTTTTCTAAGTTTGTGTCCTTGTTAATACATATAGTAGTTAAGCTAGAAGCCAAGATTAATTTATGCTTTTAAAATTATTAAAGTTGTTTATGCTTTTTATCAAATACATAGATATTCTTTTTGGGATAGAATATCTATATATTTCATAATTTGGGGGGAGGGTAGAGTCAGGGTGACTGAATGGAACTAAGTGTTTACTGGGATCTGGCCAGAATAAACGCTCAGCTCCATCCAGCCATCCTGATTCTACTCGAAAAATAATTTAAAAACACAGGGTGGTTAAAAGGGAATAATAAATATTCCATTTCTAGAAAAATCCAAAATATATTCTGGTTTGAGCTCAATTCATGAAATGCACTATATAAGGCTTATCAAATTTAGTCATTAATATATTTATATAATCAGAAGTATAAATTAGAAAATAGGATCTTCTATAATTTATAGAAGTTCCTTAATATATATTTTAACTAAATAGGCATCCATTAAGATAGACAATTCTTAAAAAATCACTAAGGTGTGCAGACAAAATTAGCTTTCATCAAATTTTATTTAATATCTTCATTTTATTCCTAAAGCAGATCCAAACCTTCCAAACCATAAGGCTAAGCTTCCTTAGCTGTACTTTTTAAATTAGGACAATGTGACATGAGACTTAATTATGTTCAATATCAACTTTATGGGATTAAAGGATTTGTGAAGTAAAGAAAAGTGTGAAGACTGCACTGTGGTAAATTATATAAACATTGGGCTGGTTCCAGAGTTGTCCCTCTATGAATAGAATAACGTGGAAAACAGAAAAAGGCACCATCTGAATGTTTCAATTTCTTTTACCAGTCACTATGCTCTAATACACTTTATAGAAGGGTTTTCAACGAATAAATGCATAAAGTGCTTGTACTTGCAGTGAAAGTTTTTAAAAATGAGAATCCCTATTCTTGCACCATTCCATCATGTACCAAAACAGCATGGGTCTCTATACACTGCCTTCAGCATACTCTAAACTATCCCAAAAGTGGTTTTAGAAATTGTTCTATATATAATTGCTCTCAAATGCTACCATGCAGCTCAAACCCATTTTCTCAAGCCAAATGTGAAAGAAATGTAATCCTTTTCTGCCCTGTTGCAGACTGGAATAGGGAAGTAACTGGACCATATTATTAAGAAACAATATATTTCTGCATGTATTGCTGGGTGCCAGGAAGCCACTTATTTAATCCATTTAAAGAGCCAATTGTGGATCAAATGTGATCCATAATTTCCACATGAGCTCTGTGATTCTGATCCAAGAGCTGAAAATAAAATGAGGCGGGAGTCCTTCATCAAGTTGGCATGACAGGATACCTCCCAATGTTTTAGATACTGAAGAGCTGGAAAAAAAAAGAATGAAGATGTAATACTTGTTGCTACGTTTCTTGTTCTGAATTAGAAATATTGTTTAATTTTATAGGTGAGGATGGAAGACTAGATTTATAACATTGCCAGCTAAATACACTCTACTCAGTGAGGAAGATGTGCTTGTACAACATAATCCAGCACTAAAAAGACATGGACTAGGTCAGGAGTGTCAAATGCAAGACCTGTGTGCTTAGATCTGGCCCATAGGGCCAGCCTGGAAATATTAAAAAAAAAAACCAGCCTGCTGTGCCTCTACCAACCAAAACTCTACCCCCCCCGCAGCCTGTTTTCATCTGGCAGAGTGCTGCAGAAGACCTTCAAGGTCCCTTCCAACTCTCTTATTCTGTGAATTCTGCTACGATGATGATGATGGTGGTGATTTATGGACTAAATGACACAACAAAATATTGTTGAGTTAAGATACAGTAAGCTAGAACCAAGATCAGAATGTAGATTTATATATTGTCTCGTAATGGTTGTGTTGCTCAGAATATCAGCACCCTCAAAACTGGATTCTTGCCATATCTGATAGAATATGCAAGTTAACTATAATTTGCATAGAGTGCACAGAAATAATTTAAAAGCTATAGCTGAGTCAGAAATTTCTCCCTGCTTGGCTCCAAGCAGAAGATGCAGCATGGAATCTATGGGGTTTAGATGGTGATACAAATTCCAGAGCAAAGATTTGTATATATGAACTATGCACTATGCATATATGAACTGGTACTTTAAAATCAAGACAGTAAAACACATTGCTTTCAATATTGGTTATTGGAGATCAATCATAAGCACACGTTTGTTTATTCTGCCTTTTTGGAAGGAATAAAAGTGCTGGGCAGTTCAGCTGCCAAAAAGATGACATAATCGTATGAATTTTACACATTTTGTTCAAGTTAAAATATTGCGTTCCAAACACACTGAAACATGTTTTAGTTTGCAGATGGGTTTCAACTATTTTTTTCTATTTGTTTTAGTAATCCAAAGAGTAGGGAATGTATTCACTAACACCAATTATTTGTTTGGTCTTTTGACTAAAAAAATCAAGAATGCATACTGTATAATTTCTCGACTGATTATTACAATCAGTTTTTTTACAAGGGAAAGAAAATGAATAGAAAATTACATATCAATAGCAATTCTGGTTGGGAATTATGGATTTTATAGTCACACTACACATCTGGAGGTCCATGTCTGGTAATATTTATCTCATTTTGGTCTATAAACCAAAACCTGTCAACGAACAAAATTGCCTGTTCTTGCTTTGATCCTGAATCCATTCATGTTAGAACTGCATTTAAGAGTTCCTCATAAAATTAAGTTGATAATTAAAAACTATTTCCCTTCAATTTAATAGGGGAAAAAATGCACTCACACTTTTTTCATGAGAAAAATTAACCACCACCACCCAAAAAATATGATGATATTCTCATGGGAGGGTGTGATATTCTTGACTTGGCTGAATGACATGGCCAGAGGCATTCAAAGGTACTGTAGTCATGTTGACACCAAAATGACAACATATGGTTATAATGTCATGATGAAAGCTCCACCCCTAGCATAATTGTCTGTGATAACATAAATTACAAAAGAGGTAGAGTTTGTGCCTCACCCCTGTTGTTCTGCTGGAGAAATACTGAACAGGCTGGAGAGAATTAACAATGTATAGCTTTACTATGCAGAAAATCATGCTGATCATTGAGAAAAGACACTTGGGTAGAGACAAGTGCAAAATATATATCTTCTGAGTATGTATATATGCTTGGGTGGAGACAAGTGGAAAATACTGTATATATCAGAAAATAGAATAGAATAGAATAGAATAGAATAGAATAGAATAGAATAGAATAGAATAGAATAGAATAGAATAGAATAGAATAGAATAGGAGTTGGAAGGGACCTTGGAGGTCTTCTAGTCCAACCCCCTGTTTAGGCAGGAAACCACTTCAGACAAATGGTTATCCAACATCTTCTTAAAAATTTCCAGTGTTGGGGCATTCACAACTTCTAAGGCAAGTTGTTCCACTTATTAATTGTTCTAACTGTCAGAAAATTTCTCCTTAGTTCTAAATTGCTTCTCTCCTTGATTAGTTTCCACACATTGCTTCTTGTTCTACCCTCAGGTGCTTTGGAGAATAGTTTGACTCCCTCTTCTTTGTGGCATTCCCTGAGATATTGGAACACTGCTATCATTTCTCCCGTAGTCCTTATTTTCATTAAACTAGATATACCCAGTTCCTGCAACCATTCTTCTGAGTATTAAATATATTATATATATTTAATAGATATTCATATGATTAATTATGAATACTCAAGCACAATTACATCAAGTTGCATGCATATTGTTCTTCTGGACAATTCATAGCCTCTCTGTTCCATCTCTTTATCTGGAAATAAGAACCAATTCTGACCATTTTAGGACTAAGTTGGTCAAACCAACTCATAAAGTATATCTTCTGTTTCCACCCCTTGTTTGTAGTGAAATTCCTTCTCTGAAGCTTTTTCAGATGAGTCAATATGAGCAGGTACACACACTGATGCAGAATCACAAGTCTGAACCACGACTAAAACAAATTATTAAATAGTTAAAAAGATTTTTTAAAAAAACCAGAAGTCTTTATTTTTAGAAACTGAAAGACAGATTTCAGCACAGTATTACATTGCCCCTTTAATTAGACTCATTAATTATATTCCTGCCAATCTTTATAGAGGCCCAGCAGGAAATATTTCATGAGGAATTTATCCAGTTTATTGAATTATTATTTACAGGAGCTTGAACTGAAATTATTAAAGACAAGCAATTCATTGTTGCTTCTCTGGGAATTGGCAGATCATAGTGAAATAGCAGAATACTGATAAAAGCAAAGAATCATTAGAACCAGAAGTAGTTGGATGGCAAGGAATCTTTGTGTTAAAGAAGTAAGGGATTCTAGAAACTGATTTAGTTTTTCTTTTCTCTCTGTCTTCATTAAAGAAAATGAAGATATATTTTTCACAAGACAATCTATCGAGCTAAAATGAAAATAATATTCTAGACAAATGGAAAACAAAACAAATAATTTAGACTAGCTAGCATCCATCTGAGAGTGTTTAAGGTACTCAAAGAAGAAATTACTGATCGTTCACCAAAACTATATATCATTTAAAGTTGGATTCTATAAGTAGGTTAGAAAGTTCCCATTAAAATGATAAATTTAAAAAAGGAATTGAAAAAAAAATGCAAGAAATTGTAGGTAATCTGTTTTAACATTTTTCCAAAGTACATTAGTGAAAAGGATGATTAAAGTTAAAAATTACATATAGCAAAACAGATCTCGCTAAAGAAAAGATGGTTTAAAGAAAGATACATTTTCAGAAAATGTAGTTTGTTGCAAGTTATCTAACCATTGATTACTCGGGACTTACTCCTTAGTAAAATTACTGACCTGACATGCATTTCAAAGACTTGGCTAAGATGAGGCAGAAGCAGAGGCAATCCTTCCCAGGTCTCTCCACCAAATTATTCCGCAACACAGTAACCTAAAAGTGGAAGGAAGGTGGTAGGGCTATAG